ATCCCATGGGGAATGGGAGCAGTAACAAAGGTGTTGCGTTTATATTTTTGTTGAGTGTACATATATTTAAAACGGTGATGGTACACTCCACAAAAAAATTTGGTCAACTGGCAACAAATCTGTAGCATAATCAGGGGGTTCAGACTGTCAAACAGTGTGTGCATAAATAGTTAAATAGTTTAACAAAAATAAATTATTTGCAATTAAATTCCACGAAGTGATCTACCTGACAGGTCCACGCCGGCATTTACACTTTCCAACCTGCCTTGGTCTTTTCAACACACGATGGCGCTACTCCCCAAAAAACAGAATAACACCGACTCCATCTGTGAATGACGGCATGTAATGACGACCTGACTGTAATGATACATGCTCGTACATAATGAGCAGCTGTAACTGAAACTCTGGAAGAGGCATGATTTCCAATTTCCGACAGGCTAAAGATAGACGCGGTCGTAATTACAACAAAGCTCACAGGATACTATTAACCTGCACATAAGACCCTAAAAAAATACCAAACAGACCACATCCTCTGATTCAGACATTAAATTCTATGATGTCTTACAAACTGCTGAGTGTAATCTGAGGAGGAATACACAGCAAACTGCAGGGTTAACACAGGCAAAGCCAGAGAATCGTGTTTAGTTGATTAATTCTTTGTTCAAAGTTAATGCGAAATGTGAAAGTGTACATATTCATTGTTTTTGAATTATGGGCTATCAATGAATCGACTTTTAATAGTTTCCTTGTTTTTTACTTAAAGAAAGTAATTGAATACTTTGGCTTCTTGCCCCAAAGAGCCCCACTGGTCCTCTAAAAATATGCTGTCTGTAATGTATCATATTATCATGAGTGTTTGATGTAATATCATAATCTGACAGGGGTGTCAAACTAAATCTACTGGAGTAAAAAGTATTTCAAAGAGGTTTTGGTGTACAATAACATGGAAATATATATGCATGTGCTTGGTTTTTCTACAATTGCAGGGACGACATTTCCTGTTTGAAAGTTTGATTCATAATTCTGTATCCTCTTACCTGAAGTTCATAATGAAAACATTAAGTATTCAGTTAATAATGAACAGAATACTTTAAAATGGGTTGTCCTCCACACGTTTGATCTTTAATGATAATTTTGTGTGCTTTGTGTGACAGCTAGTTATAGCTGTGGAGTAATGCAGTGGAACAGAGTTGGTTAATAAAACAGGTGACTTTAACGTGTGGAAATTGAAGACGGCTCTGTAAATTCGCTGTTTCAGTGATGGACATGCGCACACTGATGGGATGGAAGAGAGGCACCTCTGCACTGACGTC